TTTTTTTTTTTTTTTTTAAATTTTCTGTGTCCTTTTAAACCTGGGCCTTTACCTGTAGGAGCTAGGAAACCCCGTGGAGACTCTTCTCCCTGTGTCCCTCTTCTGTAGGAGCTGATGTGCTCGGATGAAGACTTTGCATCTGCACAGGGGACCAGGCATCCTCCCAAGGTCCAGCAGACTATTCAGGGAGCAGGGGTGGCTCACGACAGTGCCAGGCCCATATGGGGAAACTGAAAACAAAGCACAGCACTTAAATCTCAGCTTCATGTACTTATCTACATCTTTAGTCTGTCACATTTGGCTCTGACTAGATGGAAATTAATGTTTAATTCATTTCTTTTCAACAATAGCTCAGAATTTGATACCTAGTATACAGATAACCATAAATAAGTGAAAGCTAGCAGGCCAACGGCTGGAATTATTTTTCTATTTTTCTGGGCTTCTGGTCACACATTAATATGCACTGGGCACCCATTTTGCTCTGGGCGCTCACTCAGTCTTTTATCTTTTGTGCATAAACACAGAAGGTAATTTCAAAAAGCAGGCCCTTCGGGCAAAACCTCATAAACTCTCATGTTTATAGCAAGAACACAGTCAAACAGAGGGCGGAGCTGGGGCCAGCCTCCGCCATGCTTTGCATTGTGTAGCCAAGTGCTCTTTGCTAATTCTCGGCAGCTACCTGCCTGGCTTCCTACCAGCTGATTCAGTGTAGCGTCTGGGTCCAGGCTGAACCATGCTCTCCCTGACCTTTCTACATCTGTATAATTCATCAGAGCTCATGGTTTCTCAGAGACTGCCTCTGTATTCCAGAGCTGTGGGCCATTCTGCAGTTCATCCTTTGGACAAATGGACTTGCCCTTGTGGCAGCATTTTGTCACTCCCTTTTACACCAGGGTCCTCTTGCTTTTTGCTCCTTGTGCCCTAAGTACGGGGTGACTTTGGAGTAATTGTGCCAAAACATTTTTGCTGATCAGGGATTTCACACCCTAGGCGTGGTTGTTATACTTTATCAATCCTTCCTTCCATACTTATGGAGCGCTGAGCAAATGAGATTTGCTACTTGGGCATAAATAGACCCATAGAAAGAAGAAAAACACATTCCCTGCCTCGGGGGACTAAAATCCCATGTGGGAGCTGAAGGATATATGCCCAGTGAGGCTTAGAGTGATCTAGTCCACAGATAAACTACTAATTATTTTAGGTTTTGTGACCATAATGTTGCCACTATACAACTATGTGACTTTTCTTTGTGCTACTCTTCCTTTATAGCACAAAAGCAACCAAAGACAATGGGGAGGCTGTGTACTGGTAAAACTTTATTTTCCAAAACAGGCAACTGGCAGGATTTGGCCTCCTGGCTGTTTTGCTGACCCCTGAGGTACTCTGCTCCCCTGTTGTTCAGTGTAGGAACATCAGTCTCTGAAAGCTCAGCACACACAGGCATTGGTGGAACCAGTAGTCAGCATCCTGTCCTTTGACAACAAACTGGTGCTCAGGTTCACCTTCCTGCAGACCCCCTCTGCAGGCCAGCGTTCCCCGGGCCAGGCTGGTCAAGGCGTAGACTCAAATCAAGCACTCCCATTCTGGGATTCTCTGCAGGCTGTCTTCCGATCCAGACTAATGTTCTAGTTTAATCTCCCCTATAGGTCGCTCCAGTTAAACCGTCTCGGCCAAAAAGGCACTTCTCTTCTGCTGGCACCATTGAAAGTGTCAACCTAGATGCCATCCCCCTGGCCATCGCTCGTCTGGACAACAGTGCTGCCAAGCACAAACTGTCTGTTAAGCCAAAAAACCAGAGGGTGTCAAAGAAGCACAGGCGGCTTGCCCAGGTGTGTAGAGCCTGCCCGGGCTGCCCAGGCCGTATCCTTGCTGGCTGGGCAGTCACTGCCAAGTGGGCTGGTGTTGGGGTGGAGCCGGGTAAGGATCTAGGTGTCTTCCCATCGGGAACCTGGCTGTGTGGCAGTATAGGAAGACAGGCAGGCCTGTTTTTTTTCCATTGCCCTTTCTGACATGAGGCTGGTGGACCTCACAGGGGGAAGTTGCCTCTTGAGGGGCTCCAGCTGCATTATGTTTGCTTTGCAGAAGAAAGGTGGGCCGCTCTCCGCTGCCATGGCTTAAAGATCTCCCAGCTTGGTCAGGGTGGGCCTCTAAGTTGTAAGCTTCACTGGGTGTGGATGGAGTCAGATCTCCATTTTGCTCTTCTTAATGCTGGACTATTGTTCATTCACATTACGAAAACCAGTTTTGGAAAGACAGAAATGGGGCTGGAGCACAAATCATAGAGATGAAGGTCTTTCTTCCATTCCCACATTTGAGACCCTTCCCTTGACCAGTGCCTGAGTTTACCTATATCTGTACTTGAGAACACCTGCTTCCCAAGGGCTCTTTTCCATGCAGAGGGCCCCAGAGCGTGTGAATAGGAAGAGTAAGAATTGTCTGCGGAAAGGGGAAAGGCTAATTCTGTTTCCCTTCCCCATGACAGGACCGACGGAATGAGCAAGCTGGCCTGGAGAGTCAGCTCTCCCTGGACCAGAACGGACTCCTGGGAGAAGACAAGCAAACCGGGCATGAGGAGGAACCAGAGCCCCTGGATTCCGAAGAAGAGAAAAGACGCCAGGAAGATTATTGGCGAGAACTGGAGGCCAAGTGCAGGCGGCAAAAGGCAGAAGCCGCCCAGAAGAGACGCCTGGAAGAGCAGAGGCTGCAGGCGCTGGAGAGGAGGCTCTGGGAGGAGAACAGGAAGCAGGAGCTCTTGGAGGAAGAGGAAGAGGAGGGCGAGGGGGAGACGCTGCAGTTAGAAGAGGAGGATGAGGGGCCGCGGGAAGAGCAGAGGCGGAGCCTGGAAGCACAAGGTTCTCCGGAGTTGGAGAGGAAGGCGCGGCAGGAGCGTGAGCGCCTGGAGGCCGAGGCCAGGGTCAAGGCCGAGGCCCTGCGACTCGAGGACAGGCTGAAGCAGAGGGAAGAGGAGGAGGAGGAGGAAAGAAAACGCGCAGAGGAGCTGGGAAGGCAGGAGGCGGTGGTGGCGAGGCTCAGGGAAGAGCCGAACAAACAGGAGGAGATGGAAGTGCAGAGGAGGCCGGGGGAGGAGGCGCCCAGGGAGGCGGCGCCAACCCCGGAGGAAGAAGAGGACTCGGAAGAGGAACAAGTCGACAGAAGGGGCCCGCCGACCCCGCTTCAGATTGACCTCAAAGAGAAGCCAGAGGAACAAGGTAACCCAGATCCCCAAAGGCAAGGAGAAAGTGCCGAGGAACCACGTATTTGCGAGGAGCAGAACCCAGAGGCCGATCCCGCAGGACAGCCGCAGGGGAAAGAGGGGGATTTTCCTGGGGACGGATGGCTTGTGCTTGAGGAGGAGAGAGAAGAAGCGAAAAAAGACCCTCCCGGGAAAGGCGAGGCCCCGGCAGTAGAAACGCAGCTGGCGCCGGTGGAGAAAAAAGAACCTGCAGCTCTTGAAAAGGAGAGGCAGGTGGAGGAACTCAGGTGGCAGGAAGTGGACGAGAGGCAGACCATGCCCAGGCCCTACACGTTCCAGGTGTCCTCTGGAGGGAAACAGATTCTCTTCCCCAAAGTCAACCTGAGCCCCGTGACGCCTTCGAAGGACGCGGGACTGGCGTCTGGTCCCCAAGAGCCAAAGGCCACCAAGTCCGGCCCAGCCTCCCACGCCCTGCCCTCGGCCCTGAGCATCCCCCACACGGCCATCCTGGTCACGGGAGCGCAGCTCTGCGGCCCGGCGGTCAACCTGAGCCAGATCAAGGACACCGCGTGCAAGTCCCTCCTGGGCCTGTCGGAAGAAAAGAAGTACGTGGATGCCTCGGCCGTGGAGCAGTCGCCCCGAGTGCCCAGCGACGCCCGGGCGGGCAGCGGGAAGCCCAGGCCTCCCCACGAGGCCTCCAATAGCAGTGTGGCCGCACTGGCCGAGTGGGCTTCCATTCGGTCCCGGATCCTGAAAAACGCGGAGAGTGACCTTCGCAGCGAAAGAGACCAGGGGAGGCCCGGAGACGAGCCCACCGCCAGAGGCCGCTGCGATTCCCGGGGCAACCTGCGGAAGACCCCGCCCCCGAACGCCAAGTTCTCTATCATGCCTGCCTGGCAGAAATTCTCTGATGATGCCTCGGAGACCCCCAAACAGAGCACGGAAGCTGAGAGCATTAGGAAGAGACCTTTGGTGGGACCCGGGGAAGAGGCCGCACCCCCGCCTGCCCCTGCCGGCGCCCAGGACCAGCGGAAGAGCCCCGAGAAGCTGGAGGTGCAGCGGGACCCGGCGGACACCACCGACGGCTGCAAATTTGCCAAAGACCTTCCATCCTTCCTCGTTCCAAGCCTTCCTTACCCTGCCCAGAAAGCAGTGGCCCACGCAGAGCCCACGAGCACTTCGGACAGCGACAGCACCCATGGTACAGCAAAGCCAGAGCCCGCGATGCCAGGTGGGGAGGAAAAGGCCTCACCTTTTGGAATAAAATTGAGACGGACCAACTACTCCCTGCGCTTCCACTGCGACCAGCAGGCGGAGCAGAAGAAGAAGAAGAGGCACAGCAGCACGGGAGACAATGGGGAGGGGGCCCCGCCTGCCACGGGGAGCGCCCCAGGGGAGACGGAGCCAGACGGGGTGGCCCTCAAGCGGGGTCCCTCCCTTCCGCAGGAGAGGAAGCAGGCCGCGTCCCCGCGGAGGGACTCTGCGGAGAGCCCCTCTCCCCTTGTGGCCCATCCCAGGGTCCCGGCGCCAGAGGCCGACAGGGCGGCGAGCAGAACGCCGTTGGCACAGAAGCCGGCGCTGGCTCCCAAGCCGGCCAGTCAGACCCCACCGCCATCCCCACTCTCCAAACTGAGCAGGCCCTACCTGGTAGAGCTGCTGGCTCGCCGTGGGGGCAAGCCCGCCCCGGAGCCCAGCGAGCCACCCAAGGAGGGCCAGCAGAGCAGTGACCCCCAGCCCCCTTCGCCCCTTCCTGCCGAGGAAAGAAAGGGACAGAAGAGGGACGAGGAGGAAGAAGTGACAGAGAGGAAACCTGGGTCCCCACCGCTGCCTGCTCCTGAGCAAGAGAAGCCGTCCCAAACACCTGAGGCAGCGAGGAAAGGTATGTGGCTGCTGGACGGGAGCTGCTGCCTCTGTCCAGCTCATTGTCTAGGTCA